CCTTCTCTCTGATCTCCCAAAACCTCTTGCCTTCACCGTTTTGTTGGTCGGTTGCTCTCTGACATCACATACAATGCAGGACCAGTAGTCCTACAATTTAAGTGATGACACTGAGGGCCTAACCACAAATCCGAACGTTGAAGAGTAGAGTTTCAGCTGCACGATCGATAAGTTATATGAAACTGCTCACCAAGACAAAAATGAGCATTTAACCCTTGCAGGGTTGGGGAAGCCCCACTGCAAGAATAACACTGAAATTTCCATGGAGTTCAGCTTTAAATCTAGCATGACCCCCAGCTCTATTGAGAGCCTCCTATAAAAATACTGCTCGATTTATACTGTTTTTGTATTTCATGAGTTAAGATCTGTGTCAACAAACAAAGCTGATCATAGCATAACTAATATTAACCATTGCTTTCCTGAAGCAAAAATAGGAATATATATATATAGTAAATAACTGTTACATGACAACAGCAGAAAGGCTGACATGAAGGTTGCAAATGCAAAGCAAAATCTGGATTTGGTTGTAAAGGCCAAGAGCTAGCCTTACTTGTGGGTACTGAGATTGAAAAATAGGAGGATTTAAGTGCATCTATAACTAAAACATTTTTTCTCTGTTTTGTATAGAAAGAAGATAGGTTAGAACTCTTAGAACTGTCAGGTTTTGCTGCTACTACATGGTTCATTAGAGACGTTTCCCCTCACTTCTTGTTCTGAGGACAACCCTTTACCAGACAAGACGTGAGAAAAACATTTTCAACGGAAAAACAGGAAATAAAAAGCTGACAGGGGTTCCAATCCTCATTCTGGGGACTCAACTACAAAGCAAATTTAATGATTTAGTAGCCTTATATTACCATAGTGATAATCTCATCTTCAAAGCACTGAAACCTATTTATAAAGTTTTGAACTTAAATCAGATTTAACGTTTTATTGGCCAATTTTCTGCTTGCATTTGTCCGTCATTTTAACAAGTATTTTTGGAGTAATGATCTCCAGGCTGGTGAAGACATGGTGATGTTTCAAAAGATCAAACTGTTTGAAAAACTGGCAAAACTGCTTACAGGGAGCTAAGCACACCACTGTCAACATGCTATACCAATCCCGTTAATTATTTTTTTAAATCAAACTCCTGTTTTCTGGAGTTAAAATGCTAATTTCCTGACAAATAAGGAAAAGCTCCCTCTTTGAATTACAGACACAATAGGCTTGCACCTATAGGCAATCGGAATCACTAAACCAAAATAAGTATGCAGATGTGGAAAGTCAGAAATTCTTCTGTATTACTGTTCCAGATCTATGGTTTAAAGGGTATAAAAACACAATGATGAATCTTTTATTTGCTCTCTTTTGGTCTGTGAAATATACCATTGAAAGTGCTTTGTTATATCTGTTTGGTAAGAGCAAAATACCTGTTGATCATTTAGTAAGCTGAAAACTTGTGTTTACTGCTTGTGTTGCATATGAGTTACATTGTTCTGAGGACAACAAAGCCCTACAATCTACATTATGTACAGGAGGGTAGGGTTGAGTTCTCAGTAGGCATGTCCAGTTTCTATTGTCCCTATACAACAGGGATCTCCAAACGTTCTAAACAAAGGGCCAGGCTACTGTCCTTCGGACTTTAGGGGAGCTAGACTGTGGCCAGTGGGAGTAAAAAAATGTTCTGGTGTCAGTGCACCATTGTTGGAGTCAGTAGGAGGAATAGTACCCCACGGACCAGATAAAGGCAAGCGAAGAACGGCATCAGGAACCCAGGCCACAGTTTGGAGAACAATGCTACACAATAAATTGGGAGTGAGCTTTTATATCCAAAGGCAGGAAGTGTGCACCTGGCTAAATCACCAGGTGATAAGATAAAAAGTGAACTAATACATCCACCATATCCAAGGACTGGTTAATTGCAATACTTACATTCCTGTTTATTGGGTTCAGATATGCTTTAACCCCTTCATTACTTTTAAAATGGCAGAGTGGTGTACGTAGATTTCTGAAGTGCATTTATAAACAGCACTGTAGAAAACGCAGACGCGATCAGTATGCCAGTGAATGGCTATGATCAAACCTGTAAGACAGCTCTTATCACAATGTACAGAGCTGATCAAGGTGGCTTTCTACCTTGCTATCACTGTGATGACCAATCACAAAAATCACAAACACTTCAGAAACCTCCCTTTCCACTCACAATGGAGTAAGGAGTATTTATCAATGAAGAATAAAAAATTGAAGGGATTAAAGGCAGCAGCAGATTCCTGATGAAGGCTTTTAATTTATTGTGATAATGTTTTGTTAACCCATTTGCAGAATGAGAAGTTAGCAATAGCAGCCTCCCGGTATCTCCCATGAAATGTTTCCTATATCTCTCAAACCAGCTTTTAATACAAATCAAATAGTGAAATGCCAAAAGGGAAAGTACAATCCAAACCCCATAAACTAACCCCATCATCTTAAATGTGTTGCAAATGGTACATCTGTCATGAAGAATTAATCTCATTCTGCTGGGCTAATTAAAAATCCATTGCATGGCAGAGTGAAAGTGCTCTTATAAAAATCTACTCATTATTTTTCAGAGTTTGAAAACTCTGCTTTCGCAAATTTTAATGTTCTTGTCCCTAAATATGATAAACTAGGGGTCTTCTGCATATTTTAAGTTTACAGAACACAACTGAAAAATGAATTTTCTGCTTGTATGGTTGGCTGTCTGCTTTTCTCAGAAGTATGATTAGAGCTAGGAAGAAAATCAGAGGCATCCCTGAATTTACAGTTTTCTTTGGTAAATTGAAACAAGATGCTTCCTTTCCGAAATTGCTCTGGTGGTGAAAATTAAAAGTGGTTGTACACTCCAACATATACCTAGTGGAGTGACTGGCCTCAGGGGATGAAACAAATCCTTCTACATAAGTTGTACCTTTTTATCTGCAGGGTTCTCTTCTCTACATCCGTTCAAAGTGCAGAATTTATAACGTTTGTCTGAGAGTTCAGAAAAAAGGAGGCAAAGAGCTGAAGTTACACTCTGCTGAGCTCAGTGAGGAGAGCTCTGGAGAGCTGACTGGAGGGATGAGACACCCCCCCTCCACACAGCAACAGAACTGAGGCTGTCCCTCTGCTGCAGGTCCCTCCCCTGTCTCTTTGCAGCTGTGGGTAGATAAACATGGCAAAATGGTAAATAAAATCCCACTCTTTCTATGCTCAAATAAATGGGGATAATTATTTCCTTTCATATCTATGCTGACCTGATGGAAATCAGTGTACTTGCTGCACATATCTATTATGAAGAGTGCAGATTACATTAACATTGGCCTGATTCTGAGTCCATTCATTTCCAAACTGTTGGACTTACATTGCCATTATCTGCTTATGTTCTGAAGCTTCGGTTTTATTCTAAATGAGCCCTGATACATGAAGATGAAATGTACCAACTGAATTCTGATGGTATTAATGACTCTGAATGGGCTTAGGAAGCTATTAGCTAATTGTAACAGAAATATGATAACTTGTTACAGAGTCCAGATGTTGCAGGTTAAAAACATTTTAACAAGCTATGTACTGTATATTTAGTCAAGTGGATGTATATAGCTTGCATTAAATACTTCCATAGCCACAACACAAAGCAATCACAAAAAAAAAAAAAATACCACATGCTAGTACTGCAATCAATGCAACAATCATGTTGTACCTCTTAAGACAGAGATTATGCCACTTTTGAGTATGCAATATTATTAAATACCAGGTTTGTCAAGAGACGTCTTAAAAATAAAAGCAAAAACATGAAAATAGTAAAAAATAAGCACTTTGTGATTTGTTTATATTAAAAAGAATAGAAATTAAAAAATGTTAAAATCCAGCCAGTCAAACCAGTGCAGCTGAAAATACTATGTGTGGTCCGGATTCCACAAGTCTATTCAGTGGGTCATGCCTATTTTTACGTCCTGCATAAAAACGGCTCACACTCCACACAACATGATGTAGCAGATGGCATGTCATGCTTGTTATATTCTTGCCTAAAATGTTATGGACTTGGTCATCTGAGACACAGTTTGTTTACTTGAGTAAAAGTTGTTATCAGAGAGGGCTTTAAGGACTGCTGGTTTCTCCGGTAATTTTGGCTTAGGACTTCTGGTTGGAAGTTGGAGATTTTCATGGGAAGTCACTGGGCCATTTACATATTTTTTTTGTCTTTCATAATCAGTTTGATCACCATGATGCTCCTGTGTGTTACAAGAAGCATACATGGTATTGGACCTATTAGGCAGCGGGCATGCTACCTGCTTGCTGTCTTCAAATCCTTGCATGGTACCGTGACAGACTTGAACGGAGGTAATAGTCTTAATAACTTGGCAGGGGCTAAAGTTGTCATTTAAAGAAGGAGAGGAAGTTGTGCGAAAACTGACTGGCCCTTTCATATCAGAATGAATAGCAAGCAACGAAGGCACACTGCCTGATGGTCCTTGGTAGTAAAACATAGGTTTCAGTTGTGGGAGCTTTCCTAAACTTTTGTGTTGTTCATCGGACAAGTCAAGAACATTACAAATGTCAGACTGCAATGTTTCTTTTTCTAATTCATTCAAAGATGAATCGGTAGGACATGGTGGCCATTCTTCTTGATCTAAATCAGACATGTTATCATACTGTGAAGAACATCTCCTGGTCTCGAATTCTGGGGGCAGAAGGAAACCCTGTTGTTCTGTAATAATGGTGGCTGTACTTTCTTCTTCTAGAGCAGGAAGAATACATTCTGCTGCTTGAGAGAGGGACAAAGAGTCAGAAGAAGGGTCATTCTTAACAACTGACAAAGTCTCACTCTCACTTTGTGAAGAATTAATGTTTTCATCAGGACATATTACTTCTGCACTTAATACTGGTGTGATCACTTCTGTTATGTGATTCGGCTGCAGGTTTTGGGACTGTCTGTTGTCAGTACCATCTGCGGCTTTGGAACTGTTCGTTATCTTGTCCTCATCACATTCTTGTTTACATTCTGTAGTAGGCGAAGTGGTATCTGGTACATTAAGGCTGTTGACTTTAGTTTTAAATTCAGATGATCCTTCTGCTGCAGAACTGTGTTCAAGTACACTTTCAAGCTGATCATTTGACCCCAAAATGGTTTCTTGGCACAAAATGTTTTCTGCTTTATTGTTTAGGGAAATATTGAGAGATATGACATTTTGAGGCTCTGACTCATCTTCTGGAGCTTTCACAGAAACATGCTCCATAGTAAACTGCTCCACGTCCTTGGGAGTGTTTACTACTTCTGCAGAAACAGTTTCTTCTGCTTTGCTACTCATCCCTCCTACTGCAGTAGCTTTGGAAGTGCCATTTATCTGCAGGGTACTTGTTTGAGGCTTGATGATATCAGCTGCATTTGAGTTATTATCATTAATGTCAATAGGGGGTTTGATGGTTTGTTGAGAATTCTCACCATCTGCCTTCTTCTGAGCATTGGGCTCTGCACCTGATCTAACTGGTAGTAAATGTACAGGAATATCCTGACCCAAAGTCTTTTTGGGAAACTCTTCAGCTTTACCTAAAAAATAAAAGCATACACTGTTCACTAAAAAGCAGAAAAAAAAACGAAAAACTTGTATGTGCAGGTTAATGATTAGGTCATGCATTATTCTAATATACTGATTAGGTCTTGCAGTATTCTAACAAACTATTGAGCTTTTTGCGTTACAAATAACTATTTTTACAACACATAGATCAGCACTATAAATTCTCAGTGAAGGCAAAATAACTGTTGAGTGCATTACTTTTTCAGTACAGATAAAGTACATATTGAATGTTGGGGTTAACTTTGAGATGGGTAGCCTTTTTCATGCATGTTATGTATCCCTGCATGAGAACGAAAAGCCCAACTCCATCCAAATAATTTTTTGTTGGTTTAACTTTGGGTTAATTTTTTGTTGGTTTAACTTTGGGTTAACTTTGAGATGGGTAGCCTTTTTCATGCATGTTATGTATCCCTGCATGAGAACGAAAAGTCCAACTCCATCCAAATAATTTTTTGTTGGTTTTGAGACAGACAGAAATGGAAGGGGGTTGGGGGATGATTTCTTGCACAGAAACATGGACAACAATAAATCCCCAATGGAAATTCTATTGCTTACCCCACTCTATTCAGTGAAAACTGTGGACTGAGTTTGGTTTTAAGTCAGGTTTTGACATATGTGACTTATGAGCACACCTATTTTTATATTAATATATTTAATATAACATTTTATTCAAGATATTGTATAATCAAGAAACAGAATATATTATGACACTATGTGCTTTCAGCAGTAATTTTAAAAAATTAAACTTTTATTGTGAGATTGGACTGTGGTAAAAAGGATGCTGGTGCTTACAATATGTATATTGACTGCAATTTCTCTGCTCAAGCTAGTTGTTCAAGATTCCCTATGAAGTGACTTCAGCAACTAGTAGAGAAGGAGATCCTGAACAGGTTGCAGGTGTTGGAAGATACTCTGCAGAATAATTTACCACTGGAGACACAAAAATGAGTGCAGAGTTGAATAAACGCCATACAACAGGTTACCAAAAAAAACCCTACCTAATTACAACTGACTAGTTATGTGTTTGAGTCCATTGTATTGTTAAGAAATCGGACGCTCTTTCATGACAATAAAGTCATGTTTTGGTATAACAATGAATTAACATTCATGTTGCTGGAGTTATGTCTTCTTTGGCTGGCCATCAAGATTACTAAATATTCCAAACCCGGAAGAACACTGGGCAAAATGTCAGTGACAGTGAGAGAGCTTGTGGATGTTGCAAAGCTGTAGGGGAGGTATGTATAATGGATGTTAGATCTGCTTAAAGAATTAGCACTTAAAGAGTAATTCCACTTTGTTATGAAAAATACCTTCCCCTGGGTGATCTATGTACATTGCAGGGATTTTTAAGAAACTTTGTTGCAGATTCCTACCTTTTGTTATTCTAAAGAAGTAGTTGTTTGTTTGTGTCCATCTACACACTGAATCAGTATGGAAGTGACTTCACAATTATCAGCAGCTGCACCTGCAGGGTCTAAATCCCTTTAGATGCGATTCTCCTTTTGTGAGTACCACACCATAAATTATATTTTTGTTGCAGGGGATGCTCAAAATCTGACTTGAATCTTAGTGCCGACTTCTAGGAAAATCAGTAAGCGAATCACACACAAACAGGTAATGACATATCTGGGGGGCGTTCTGTACACCATCTGTGTACAGAATGCCTCCAGGTAGCCATATGGCATTGCATTTTACAGAAAATTACAGAACTCACAATATGATTTGTGAGTCAGTTGTAAAACACTATATATTTTTTTTTTCATTTGCCAATTTTTTCCCATAAAAGTGGAGTTACCCTTTAACAATAAGCACTCATTAATGGATGGAAAATATTGTACCTGGAGGAGGCAGCTCAAGTTTCATTTTCCTTAGCTCCGCCATCGATGTCTGTAATTGTTCAACCACAATATCATCATCGTAGCTCAAGGAACGGGCAATCTTCTCTTGGAGAAATTCCCGAAGGTCCTCCATTGACATTTTCAACAAGCGTTCTATACACGACAGAAATATTAAACAAGTTAAAAAAATGCTGCTTGCCAACAGATGTCAAAACACATTGAGAAAAACCTGTGATACTATGAACTACTACCCCAATGACAGACATTATTTGCAAATATGAAACTTAGAAAATACAATGTCATTCTATCCCTACCATTATAGTCTATATAATAAAAATATATAGTTATATGAATTGAGACATGCAACCTACTTTAAAATGGGTTACACTAGATTTGATCAATGGAAATGTCATACTTTTATGTAGTTTCAGTATGGTGTAAGCCATCGCTGGCAGCACTCGCTCTCCTTCCAAAATGTAGATGTCCCACAGCCTCAGAGTGAGAGTAAACGGTGTCTGGAATTATGAATAAAAAGAAAAACAGGCAACGAGGTTAAACTGTCCCTGTCAATGCAGTCGTACATTCTCAGCATAAGTATATGTTTTTGCTCCTTGGTACAATATGTGTAAAACTGCTACACAAAAAAAGCAACATCAGAGATCAGTATAATGCAAAGGATTCACCATGTATAAAACAGAAAGGGATTGAGCTGGAAACCTTGGGAGGACCAGATTTATGGTCATAGGTACCCAGCAATCTGACCAGTTAACATTATTTCTTTTTGTGGACTGAGCAAAGAAACTACAAGGCTGTTCACTGGAGCTTTGTCTTCAGTACTAAGTACATGGCCAAATAGGTATTGAATAGTAGATAAGCATTGAACAATAGCTGTAAAAAGGGATTGTCTCAAAGATCTGGATGTTACTATAACCCTATATATGTCAAGACCAATGAAGACAAGATGATGTACTAAAAGGCTGAAGTCAAGCTTAGCTCAAGTTATTGCTGCCCCCTTTTGTTAAACATCACTCCATCACCTGGAGAAGCAAAGTGATGTATACTAGCTGAAAATTCCAGGCATGAGGAAGCGTGTGACTCATTCCCAGGGGTAGACTGACTATTTGGAAACTTGGGCACTGCCCGAGGGACTGGGGTCAGTAGGGGGCCCCATGAGATGCCCCTGGTACCTTTTTCATACGCTTTTTTGAGTTTGGGCAAGGACACAGGGGCCCCATGATCCCGTATTGCCCGGGGGCCCCATGAGTTGTCAGTCTGCCCCTGCTCATTCCCCTTCCTCATTCTTCAGGTGGAAGAAAACCAGCTATGTGTAAGTTTTAGGTTGTAAATTAGGGCCCATTCACACTTATGCTTGCATTAACGCATCATTTTAAAGGATAAGTTCACCTTTATACAAAAAATAATAAATGCACTTTTTTATGCATTATTTTTGTTGCAGGAGCCTGCAGTTCAGTCAGTATATCTGCTTACCCTGCTTTTTTTAAATTTGTCGTATATATTTATGTATGTCTATGTAAATGTTGAATTTATTAATAGATTTTTTAGGAGCACATTTTAAACCCAAATTTAAAATATTATGCTACTGAGATTATAAATACCTATATCTTTTTACTCCATTCTCCGTTTTTGGCGTTGAACCCTCCTCCCTGCTCTACACCCTTTTGTTCTCTTTTTATATAATAACCCCTTCCTCGTCCCCCTACTAAATCGTCCCCTTTGCCTTTGCTCTTTACCTCCCCTTCCTCCATAATAGGATACTGGGTGATAAGTAGTGTCATGAAATTCATTTCTATAATAATCAATAGCTTGAAATCTGTTATAGGTGGGGATCTGATATTGATTCTGAACTTGATAGGATGGCCTACCTATGGGCCCTGTGTTCCTCCATTTTGGTGACAAAGATTCATTAAAGATATTCTTATTATTAAGAGGGCGTCCACCACTATTAAAGAAATGTATTAAATTAATAAATTCAACATTTAGATAGACATACATAAAAATATATGACAATTAAATTTAAAAAAATATTTTCTTAATAATCCAATAATTAATGTTAATAAACAAACCCAAGAGGGTATTTGTTTTGATAGTGGTCTTCATAATAAACCCACATTCAATCCTCCAAATGTAGCTAATCAATGTATAGATGTATTAAAAAATTTAATTATTAGAGATTTGGAAATCTATCAATCCAAATAAATATATTAATGCTCCATATATCATGGAGGGGATAAAACATCTGGAAACAAGGAAGGACATTATAATTAGATCTGCGGATAAAGGGGTGTGTGGTTATTTTAGATAAAGTGTTCTACATGCAACAGTTGAAAACTATGTTGAATGATGATAAAGTATATAAACATTTATTGAAAGATCCTACACATAGGTATAGAGATGAACTCAAATTATTAATAAAGTGGGGTTATCAAAATCATATTTTAAATAAAAGGGAAAGAAATTATTTGGTACCTAGTTGTTGCAGATTACCTGTGATATATACTCTTCCAAAGATACATAAGGACATAACCTGCCCTCCAGCCAGACCCATAGTCAATGGCATAGGGTCTGTGTCAGCAAGATTAAGGGAATACTTAGATCTGTTTTTGCAAACCAGTGTTGTACAAACCAAGGCTTATTTAAAGGACACTAAAGATTTATTAAACTTATTACAATGTGACATAAACCAACAGATGTATATGGTTACAGCTGATGTTTCCATCGCTGTATACCATTATAAGTCATGATGATGCCATGTTGGCCCTAAATTGGGCTCTCAGCCAAAGGGAGGATCTCCCTCATATTCAAAAAGTCTTTTTGGGGAAAGCCTTGGACTTTTGTTTAAAACACAAGTATTTTTGGTTTGACAATAGTTATTATGAACAGCTGAGTGGCATGGCTATGGCAGCCAAATTCGCGCCTACCTTGGAGAATATATTCATGGCGGAATGGGAGGACAGGTTTGTTTTTTATAAACGCAGGCCTGAATTGATCTTCATATGAAAAATATTAAAATAGGATTTAAGGAACATTTTCTAAACATCACCATAAGGATCCTTCCCTATTAAAATTTTGGGGAATCGATTGGATACCCCCTAAATGGCGAGGATCAAATTGAGTTAGAGATTTATCTAAACGTGAAACCTAATGGATCTTTTTTTCTTAAATCATTAACACCACATGGATTAAACGTTGAATTAGATTTAAACTGCTTCATTAGTGACCTTTGAAACTATGTTATGTAGTAAACCTGAAATATCAAATATTGTACTGAATTACTGTTAAATAGAAGATATAGTTATAATTAATATTATTTTAGTTTATTTTTAATTTTAATTTTATGATTTTTACATTTTATAAAATGTTATTTTATTTTATTTTTTATTATTAAAGTGTAAGATTATAATATATGGTTGTGTAATACGTTTGTAAAAGCCCAAAGATGTATGTTATTGTAGTATATTTATATTTGTGATTGATATATTTATCATTGTTATGATAAAAGATAATTTGTTGGTTATGGTTGAGTATTTCCGCCAAGTTAGAGGCATAATAAGGAGAAACTAACCAATTATAAATATTCATGTTTGCAGATTTAGGGATATATCAGTATGATATGGTTGGAGAGATTCAACTATTTATATCATCGTATTCATATTTTATGAATCTGTAAATATACCCTTATATATATAAGTTCTTTGTGTCCTTAAACACTGAAGCTGTAGAGATTACCTTCCGCCAGGTTATGGGCGGAATTTCCGCTATAGTATAGTCAACCAATTGGCAACACCGCCTGTCCAATAAGCACGCTGTTGTCGCTTAACCACTCCCTATAAATAGGTCCGGATGTGACGAAATGCCTCAGTGATTGGTTGAGCGAAAACCAGAAGTGACAATCTTTGGGACCGGAAGTGACGCGCATTGTTTGAGAGCAGAGAATTGGCAGCGGTGAGAGCGTTGTGCGGTCTTCCCTCTCTGACATTACCTTCACTAAATCAGAAAGATAGATCTTTGGGCTTGTCTTGAATTTTATTATTGTAAGTGAGTTTCTTTGAGCAGAGATTAAAAGGTTTTAAAGGATACTACACTATGTTGGGTCTCTATTTCCTTTCTTTAACTTGATCTGGAGAATCATCTCCAGGAATTGTAGGTCTGGAGTGTTGGAGCCATTCTGGGGAAATTACTGTGGAAAGTCTGACACTGAGGCTATTGGTTTGAAGTGCTGGAGTTACTCTGGGAAGAGTCGATGTATATGAGCGATTATTCCTGGTCTGGATAAATATATGTTTAAACAAAAGCGCATTTTGCCAACCATGAGAGTGGGAGGCAAATAAAGCTGGTGAGTGCATACCTAAGGGGGAGCACAGCACAAGTTTAGATATTTTATTTACAGTCATGTGGTGAAAAATTTTACTCACACAGTGAATTCAAAAAGGACTTTTTAATGATAGACTTTTTGTTTATTCATTTTTCTATCATATAATTTACTTTATTATTTACAGAGCGTTGCATATATATTTTGGTAATTTCAAAATAATATATATTGGTCACATTTTTATTTATAAGAAAAAAGTAGTGGCTATATTTATGGTTTTTTTATTTACTTATCTATTCATTATAGTTTTTACACATTATCTAGAGCATGGTTTATGTTCAGTGAAGTGGATTATATATACATGTTATTTGTATCACATGTATATATCTTCCACTCGGGGATATACTGTTTGATATAAGGAGCAATAATATGGCCCTGTTTTTCAAGCCCAGAAAAGCTTTTTTTTTCTGCACAGTGTAAGCAATTTATAAAGTTTGGCAGTATATACATGGCCCACTGTTGTCAGGCATTTAATCAAAAGTATACTTATATTTGTTAAATTGAAAGTCTAAACATTTTTAGTACTTACCCGGTCTAAGAAGCACTGCAGAAACCACTTTGTTGTATAAATGCCAGTAGACATATCCTCCTTGTCCTAGGAAAAAAAAAATAGGTATGCTGTACTAAATTTCATAACTCCACAAGCCCTCAAGTGCATGTTCTTATATTTTCTAAAGTCACAATATCATATTGTGGAAGTGGTTCACAATTCATAGGGCTTAATCACCCAAAGCCAAGCAATGTTCTTAAACAAATCGAATAGCATGATGGTTACCTAGCTTTTCAAACAATATAATATGTCACTGCAGTTTTTCGGCTGGAAAAATGTTTAGCTATTTCCAGTATCACCCATTTTAGTGTTTTTTTTTTTATTCCCCACAGGGTAGGTACCGCACAAGATAACAGTGGTTATTTTTTACGATTTCCCACAGGGTAGGTACCGCACAGGATAACAGTGTTTAAAATAAAGTCTGAACTTTCAGACTGAAGAGAAGACATCACACTGCATGTTTGGCAGGTCAAGTGGCAGAAAAAAAGCCATTGCTACAATGTAAAAGAGGCTTGCCAGGGCCAGAAACCAACCCCTGTGGACTATGAAAAACTGAAAGATGTCCTTATGGACCAACTATTCAACATTTGAAATCTTTAGTTTGTCACAGAAGGTTTTTTTATGCTGTTGAGTAGCTGAAAGGATGATTTCTAACTGTGTGACACCAAATGTTAAATATGGAGGGGAAAGCACAATGGTCTGGACTCCTTTGCTGGATCAAGAGTAGTGACTTGCAAAGAGGGACTGGCACCCTAAACCAAAAGGCCTACCATACATTTTGCAGTGCCATGCTATATTCTCTTTTTTACACCTAGCTGGTCAGGGGTTCATCCTACAGCAAAATAAAGACTCACAATATATCAGCAAGTCATGCCAGAACTACCTTATAAGAAAAAAGAACAAGATGGTGGCTTTACAATCAGACTTATAGAGGTGGCTTGGGATGACCAAACAGAAGGGTTAATATATAGTGATATACACTGCTCAAAAAAATTATAAGAGCCCCTTTTAATTAGAGTATAGCATCAAGTCAATTAAACTTCTGGGATATTGATCTGGTAAGTTATGTAGCACAGGGGGTTGGTAATCAGTTTCAGCTGCTTTGGTGTTAATGAAATTAACAACAGGTGCAATAGATAGGCAACAAGGAGACTACCCCCAAAACAGGAATGGTTTTACAGGTGGAGGCCACTGACATTTTTTTCCTTACTCATCTTTTCTATTTTTTTTTCACTAGTTTTGCATTTGGCTAGGTTCAGTGTCACTACAGGTAGCATGAGGCGATATCTGGACCCTATAAAGGTTCTACAGGCAGTCAACTCCATCAATACGTGCCATTGGCAAAAGGTTTGCAGTGTCTCTCAGCACAGTCTCAAGAGAATGGAGGAGATTCCAGGAGACAGGCAGTTACTCTAGGAGAGCTGGATAGGGCTGTAGAAGATCCTTAACCCATCAGCAGGACCAGTGTCTGCTCCTTTGTGCAAGGAGGAACAGGATGAGCACTGCCAAAGCCCTACAAAATGACCTCCAGCAGGCCACTGGTGTAAATGCCTCTGACCAAACAATCAGAAACAGACTTCATGAGGGTGGCCTGAGGGCCCGATGTCCTCTGGTGGGCCCTGTGCTCACTGCCCAGCACCATAGAGCTCGATTGGCATTTGCCATTGAACACCAGAATTGGCAGTTTTGCCACTGGCGCCCTTGTGCTTTTCACAGATGAGAGCAGGTTCACCCTGAGCACATGTGACAGACATGCAAGGGTCTGGAGAAGCCGAGGAGAATGTTATGCTGCCTGTAACATCGTTCAGTATGACCATTTTGGTGGGTCACTGATGGTCTGGGGAGGCATATCCATGGAGGGACGCACAGACATCTACAGGCTAGACAATGGCACCCCGACTGCCATTAAGTATCGAAATTAAATCCTTGGACCCATTGTCAGACTCTACACTGGTGCAGTAGGTCCTGGGTTCCTCCTATGCACTACAATGCCCGGCCTCAAGTGGCGAGAGTATGCAGGCAGTTCCTTGAGGATGAAGGAATTGATACCATTAAATGGCCCCCATGCTCGCATGACCTAAATCAATTTACCTCTGGGATATCATGTTTTGGTCCATCCAACACTGCCAGGTTGCACCTAAGACTGATCTGGGAGGAAATACCCCAGGACACCATCCATCATTTCATTAGGAGCATGCCCCGAAGTTGTCAGGCATGCATACAAGCACATGGGGGCCATACAAACTACTGAGTGTAGCAATAGTGCACACCAAGATGGACGCGTTCATCCATCTTGTTAAGAATCTTCCATTTTGTATCATCTCTCTCCCAAATCAGGCTTCCTCCTCCAATTTCCTCCCTCCCTCAGGAATGTGGTCTGTGTTAAAAAAGCAACAGGCCCCAGTGGGAGAGCTCCAGGGCTATAAACTTCCAACCGAGCTGGGGCCTAGATGTCTGTTAACTTCTCAATCTGGGATATTGTAAAGCCATAAACCAAGTTCTTCACTGAGCTCAAAGGCATTCCGGGTAGTCGTAAAAACAGACTTACATTTAAAACTCACTTTTCTATATAATTTTTATCTTCAAATTGGACATAATTACATAAACAGGGAGCACGTATTCGGACGGCTCACTTTAAGACAAGTCGCCTGGTATATTACACCCCCTAGCTTTCATATACAGGAGAGCAGAAAATTATATCTCCTGAACAATTCAAGCAGATATGTCATATTTCATATCTAACCGTTCAGCAGATGCGTCTGCATATTAATCTACTAGTGGCAAGGCTGCTAAATGCCCCGAGAATAAGTTATGAACCATGACATCAACTGTGAGAGTTTTGGTCATAGCCTGAGCTAACCTACACAACCCCCTCCCTAAATGAGGCGATTGGTTTTCTGCTTCAGGGAGACACCATGTGGAGTTCCTAGAAAAAGCTAAGCTAAGCTGAGTTGAAAAAAGTTGAAGATTCTCCCTTTTTAACATCGGAACCAACGGTGGGAGATAAGGCATCCTTTTTAACCTGACCTAGTAACAATCGCTCCCAGGCTGCCAGCACACAGGTTGTGGTCCATTAGCTGGAAAATTGTTGTGCAGGGTGCAGCTGGGTGTGGCATTGTTACGCACATGACAGCACAATTTTAGATTGGCTAGTCCTTTGGTCATGAGTTTGGTGAGAAGAGCTGGGGTCTGACACAGCGATCGTCACACTGAGTACCATTTTGAGTTGCTGCAATGAAATTTCAGCAAAATGTACTAGCCTGCTGTATAATGTTTTCACTTTGATTTTTGGGGTGTCTTTGAATTCAGTCCTCTTTAGGTTGATAATTTTAATTTCCATCAAACAATGGGGCATTCTTACGTTCCTAACACATTACCCAGTTCATATCAGTATAGATATCCAGCATATTTTTCCCCATTGAGATCTAATGTATTCTCAAAGAGTTCCTTTAATGTTTTTGAGCAGTGTATATGTATATCCCTAGTATGTGCTATCTCAAACAGAAAAGAAAGTTTTAACCGCTAGTTGTTCAGGAAATGGCAATACCATGTGTTTCTTCAATTTAGGGAATAACTTGCTGAGAATTTGTTCATGGTGACTCTGAAACCTCTGGAGCTTTGGAAATCCAGGAATAAAAAAACCTTCAAAGAAAACATTGGTAGATTGGATTATTGCACTATTTAGAACAAATATTAGCGCAAACATAATAAATAAATCTGAACCTGACAGTGCACAAAGATCTACAAATCCCATAACACTAAAACTTCTGAAAGAGGGAGGCCTGACATTGCATCCTATGCAAAATGCAACTGGATTACCACAGTACTAGGTACTTTCTTTAGATGGCTATAAGATGGATATAAAAAATGTAAAACAATCACATATGATCCACAATACAATATTATTTCTTGACACACATAATAAAGATGTGCAAATTTCTACATATATATTGCTGCAAAAGACTCACCGTTTTTAGAATGTTTCTGGCAGAGTATAACAATGTCCTACAGCAATTACAACCCCAATTCCAAAAAGCTGGGGTGCTGTGTAAAATCTACAAAAAAACAGAAAGCAATGATTTGCAAACCTCATAAACCCATATTTTATTCACAACAGAAAATCAAAAACATATCAAAACACATCAAATGTTTAAATATGCCAATTCAAGAAAAAAATAAGGTAATTTTTAAATTGATGGCAGCAATGCGTCTGAAAAAAAAAGTTGATACAGGGCCATGGTCTAGCATCCCCTCTTTTAAGAATACTCTGTAAACGTCTGGGAACTGTTCTTAGCAGAGTGTTCTTAAGAGAAGAGGGGATGCCAGGGCCAGGACAAGGGTTGGGCAGGTGGGGTGGCTGCCATGGACACTGTAGTATCATGTGAGGTGGGTGGAGGGCACCACAAGGAGATATGGGGGGGGGGAATCTGCGTTGGGAGGGGGAATTTGGGGGGTGGCTTGGGGTAGGAATTGTTATAGCAGGGGACATTTGAGGGTGCTAGGAGTGATGATATTGGAGAGGGGGGAGGAAATTTGTGCTAGGATTGGACATTTTTTAATTGGGGGGGGGGGGGAATTTGTGCTAGTAGGGATGATTGGGGGGTTTTGTGCTAGAAAAGGAAACTTGTGGGGGGGGGGGGTGCTAGGAGGGGGGAGACTTTGTGCTAATTGGGAGGAATTTGTTGTAGTGGAGGGAAGAGGATTTGTGCTTGGAGGGGAAATTTGAAGGGTAGAGGATTTGAGTTAGGAGGGTGATTTTTTTTTCTTTCTTTGGGGGTGGGGGGGGGGGCAGTTGTGCTGGGGGAATTTGGGGAGAGAGAGGATTTGAACTTGGAGGGGGGATGGGGGGGGCAAAGATTTGTGCTGGGATGGGGGATTTCAGTAGGGGAGCAGATTAGAACTTGGAGGAGGGGGAATTTATGCTTAGTGGGTAAGCATGCAGAATAGTGCTGGATTTTTATTTTTTTTGGGGGGGTGGGGATTTTTTGCTAACACGATGCTCATACATCTTGGAGGAGAGGGGGGGGGAACTCAGATTGGTATATTTACGTTAGGCTCTAGATGACCTTGTCCGGGTACAGGGGGAGGCTATAACTTAGTCCTGTCCCAACGTTTTGAGACATATTGCTGCCATCAGTTTCAAAATTACCTTATTTTTTTTCCTAAAACAGTAAATATAAACATTTGATAGGTTTTGATATGTTTTCTGTTTTCGATTTGAATAAAATATGGGTTTATGATAGTTGTACATCATTGCATTCTGTTTTTATGTAGATTTTACACAGCATCTCAACTTTTCTGAAATTGGGGTTGTATGTCTGGACTAGAACCGTGGTGTTACAACATTTAGGCTCTATGCTTACAATGAAATTCACATCTCTGTATTTGTATGTCCTCTGCTAAAACTGGATTGTAAATCTTTGCCAAACTACTTCCTTTCCAAAAAAGAATTGACCCCCTAGGACCAAACTGTCTGCAAGACAAACACTTTCCTGCAAACAGTCGTGATAAATGTGTGCTCAGGAGATGTCAGACCAGAGGCTTCTGCACAGAAGTGTCTAGATGGCTTCATGGGCATCTGACCCAGGAATGTAAAGCAGCATGTTAAGTGTTTGCTTAGGATGTCAAGAAAAAATAAACTTCTGAAAATACAACAAATCGGGAATATATATATATTTATTTATTTTTTGTAATGTTTGTACTGACCTGATATGATTTCAGCTATAAACAGGGAAGGCCCTGTAGGTTAGAAGACCAGCTCAGCTTTTTTATGGTGCACTAGGGACAGAAGCTCTATGGTGATCATATACACAGAATGATGTAGCCATCATTTTAAATCCTGGGTAGATTATATGCAAGCAAATGCCTGTCTACTTCTAAACACCATAACTGGCCCATACACATTTAACTTACTGTCACATTTGTTATAATTTATGCCTGATAACTAGGTCATTGGAATGTATCTTAATAGGGTGCCATCAATACCTATTTTTTCACTGCGATAAGAAATTATATTTTTCTGCCATCCATAAAAATCACATGAATAAAACTCTCCTGTTTTAGTATTTCTTCTTTAACTTAAACTCACCGTGCATTGCGTGTCTCTGGTTGGTTAGCAGCTGAGCTAAAGCCCAAAAAGCATCCTCCTCATTAAGGTACATGAGGAGCACCGCTGCAATCTGACTCATCCCCTGACAGTAGCTGACTTCCTGTAGAAGACAGAAGCAGGGCAAGTCAATAGTGTACAGTATGAAAACACAGGCTGAAAAAAAAATCGAAAATTCGCAACACAATTCAATGGCTATAAAGTGAACCTGTCAGGTCTTGATATGTGACAACCAATGTTACAGATAAAAGGAAGCACCATAACATGCCTCCCTGTTTTTGTCAATTAGACTTCTGTGTAGCCAAAGAGCTGCTGATGCAACATAACCGGGTCAGACTTTAGACCTATTTTACATGCCCCTATTGCCGCACTACCTCACTAGCACTGTTACTAGTTGCAAGGCACTCTATATATCAGTTAAAGTGGAGCTCTAACCAGAAGGGAAAGTCCTGCTTTAAGGAATCCCCATTTAGGATTGGCACCGTTAGGCAGCGCGTGCCAGATTTTGACAGATACCAGCTCCCCTTTCTGCTGCGAATGTCTAGGTGATCGAAAGCGGAAGTTGTCATCCCCACTTCCTGTAGTCTTCTGGGACACGTGATAGGTCCCAGAAGACTGCGGGACAATTCACAAAGTGCAGTGCTACTCCCGCATGCGCAGTGGGAACCCAGCTGTGAAGTTGCAAGCTGTCACAGCCCGGTGCCCACACTGAAGATGTTGGCACTGGGGTGAGAGGACGGCCGGAGAAAACTGGCTGTGGTGAAGACACCCCTGGATCGAGGGACAGGTGAGTGTCTGTTTTTTAAAAGTCACCAGCTACAGGTTTTCTAACTGCTATTTTTTTACATTTTGACTGGATCTCTACTTTAATAAGACATAAACAGGAGTTTTTGTAGATGGCAAGGATTTCCCACACTTTGGAGAGATTCCTTTCAGTTCTCTCCAGGTATTAAACTTCCCCTACTCTATCCAAAATATTAAAAAAAAAAAAAAAAGTCTTTACTTTAGATGTACTTTAATACAAGTAAAAAAACAGACAAACAGAGATAGCATTAATGTTTGCAAATACGGAGATTATAGAAGGTAAATAGGGCAGATAGCTTCAGTGATCAATGTTTTAACATTTTTATTGATTTTAACAAAGTCACCATGAATCTGGTATAGACAAAAGAAGAACAATTAAGACGTGTGAAGTACAAATAGTATAACCCAGACATACAAAAATAAATAAATAACAATACTTTTTCACAGCGATATAACAGGCAATCTTATGGACAGGTTTTAGGTAGCGATCCCCAGGAAAAAAAGTCTGGGGGGAGTAAAGCAGTAATAAGGGAAGGTGGGCTAACAGTGGACTAGTCACAATACAGTAGATAGAGATTGGAGTTTGAGGGATAAGAGGAAGAATACAGAGTGGGAAGAGGAAGAATAGAGGTGCAGAGCAGGCAACTGGGAAAAAGAAAAAAAAAAAAAAAAGGAGTACAATAGAAAAAGGGGGAGCTATGGCAGTAAGAGGGAGATAAGAAAAGGCAGAAAGGGGATTAGAAAAGGTAAGGGTAAAAGTAGGGTCTCTTTGCAATCAGGATGGGGATAGTTGGCCCATCAAGGTACAGGTTTAACTTTTAAAAATGTCAAAAGTTTGCCATTAGGTTTACCATTATACTAAAAGTAAATTCCACATTTTGGGTTGTCACCAAAACAGGAAAAAAAGGTGAAACTTTCCAATAGGGACACTTGTTCTGTTGACCCTGGTGACAACTATCACTTTTGAAGAATTTCCTCAAACTTCCTGTTTTGGCTATGAGACAGGAAGTGAATTAAAATCACCCCAATGGGACAGAGATGGCACAAAAGACTGACAGGAATTATAACGCTCACTTACACTATCCAAAAAAAAAAAAATTTTGCCTTTAGTTTGGCTTAACTTTTTTTTTAAAGAGGCAGACTTTTGCTTTCCAGGCCCTGGCACCTGTGAATATATAAGTATGTGCAATGTTACCTTCATACAAGCCACTGTTTTTTACTTAGTGAAGCTTCAACCAGGCCTTTCCACGTGGTATATTTTTAAGTGTATAGATCAACATATACTGACGCAATCAAACATGTTTGCCTTTGGGATAGTTCCAAACAATGAAAAATTTTTCCTCTGTATAACAAATCCTAAAACACTGAGGAGGATTCTGAGCCAGGACCAAGTACCAACTCATAAGGCATTTAATTGGTTTTGGCAGCCAAGGCAGCTTTGCATTTGGCATTGGCATTTAAAATATTTTGCCATATATTCTTGCATTTATTTTGGGAGATTTTCTAGGACTGTAGAACTGGGTAGATGAGAAGAAATCAATCTGCCTGGGTATTTGACATTATGCTAGACATTAGAGGAATGTAGCTATACAGGGCTCTGTAAATTGTTTCCTAACGTAGGAGGGGTATATAAGATAGAAGCTATGGAGACGGGAAATGGTATGGCTAAACCAAAGAGGAATATTGGCTCATGTGTAGAAAAGTGTCAACTGAGAGATTTGTGCTGCATGATAGTAGCTAGCTAAGGGTCGTTTCACACTGCTCCACTGCAGTTTGACCGCAGCATGAGTATACCTGCAGTTTTCACGCAGGTTACCCATAGGTTTTATATTTTCTGGAAGTGCACCAAAAGTCCTGAATGCTGTATCTTTGGTGCTCTTTCCAAAAACAAGCCAAAAACACAGATCATAATAGAAAGTCTATGGAAACCATGGGTTAACAGCACAAAACCTATGGGTATACCTGCGCTGTGGCCAATCCGCAGTGCAGTAGTGGGAAACCACTCTAAATGGGGGAGTCTCAGGCTTCCCTGAGCTTTGTTTTTAAAACATATTTGTGTCGCTACTCTAGGCCTAGTTGGACACCAGATGAATTTAGGCATTTCGGATTGTAGCAAAGAAAGAATATGTGTGATGGTACATGCACTGGGAGGGTGCAGAAAACGTATAGTGGTTTGAGCAATTTGGTCATTTTGACTGCAGCTATCCCTCCTAGCCAAGAGATAGGATGTGGTTTCTAATCAACTAAAAGGTCTTGTTTGTAACGTATTACGTGTGGGTTGATTGGTTTGGAAGATGAAATCGCAGCATTAGTTGGGTTGATGCCCAAATTAGGAAGTCTGTTAGAGGGCCAGCTGAAATCAAAATTATCTTTATGATCTGTGAAGTGTCAGGAGAGCTGGAAATATCTAAAAATTTTAGATTGCTAAGAAGCAGTCCAGAAATTGTAGTGAAGTTGTAAATTAGGAAAAAAGAATTTAGAAACAAGATTTCTTAAAAATAAAACAAATGTAATTGTCACACATACACACAACTTATGTTGGTATCCCACAATGTTTAATTCATTGAGTCAGGTGAGCGCCTAATTAGTATGTCCAAAGGCTTGATGGTTAAAACAGAAAGTAGGGGCAACCTTTTTGGGTTCCTTTGAAGCTATTGGGAAGCTTTCAAATTTAAAGCCCAAGTATTTAACAGAAGCAAGCAGGCTCAAATCCATTTGATAAAGTTAAAGTCAAATCCCTATTTTCTTAATATGTAAAGTAAATAGTCTATTTTAATATCAAAAGAGACTAGCAGTAGGGTATATTGTATGATCTCTGGAGATCTGGATGAGGTGGGGCAGTCTATACATGTTGTCACTTCCCTTCTGGCTGGGCATAAACCTCACCTGGTCTTTTGAGATTAGTTAGTATTTTCTATATTTAGTCGTGTGTGGAAATAACTTGTGCCAGAATTTAAAAGTACAAGTTAATGAGTGAAATCACTCTATAGGTAGATCTGTTGGTGCCGTACATGGCTGGTTTGGAGAGCACGCTATAAGCTGATGTCAAGGAATCTTGTGCCTTTTAAAGGGCTGTTTTAATTGCACTTGGCAGTATTAAAAATGTATTGTAATAAAAAGGCTGTAAAGCCATCCGGGCTAGGTTGTTTTTGGAGTTTAAGGTTTTTGGATTTACTTTAGCTATATTTCATTAACAAGTAGAGTCTTTAACCGCTTGCCTACAGGGCACTTATACCCCCTTCCTGCCCAGGCCAATTTCCAGCTCTCAGCGCTGTCACACTTTGAATGATAGTTGCGCGGTCATGCAATACTGTACCCATATGAAATTTTTATCATTTTTTTGTGACAGATAGAGCTTTATTTTGGTGGTATTTAATCACCTCTGGGTTTTTTATTTTTTCTTAAACAAACCAAAAACCGCTGAAAATTAAAAAAAAAAAGTTTTTTCTTAGTTTTTGTTGTAAAAGTTTGTAAATAAGAGATTTTTCTCCTTCACTGATGTGCGCTAATGAGGCTGCAGTGATGGGCACGGATAGGCTGCATTGATGGACACTGATAGGTGGCACTGATGAGGAGGCACTGGTAGGTGGCACTGATGGGCATTGACAGGCATCACCGATGGGCACTGAAAAGCAGCACTGATATATGACACTGATAGGCACTGATAGGCGGCACTGACTGGCACTGTTAGGCGGCACTGACGGGCACTGTTAGGCGGCACTGACGGGCACTGTTAGGCGGCACTGACGGGCACTGATAGGCGGCACTGACGGGCACTGACAGGCAATGATAGGTGGCACTGATTGGCGGCACTGATGGGTGACACTGAAAGGTAGTTCAGATGGGCACTGATATGTGGCATTGATGTGCACTGGTAGGCACTGATATGTGGCATTGATGTGGCACTGATGGGCACTGGCACGTGGCACTGTTCAGCACTGTCAGCTGGCACTGACAGGTGGCACTTCTGGGGCCACACTGATTATCAGGGCACACTGATCATCAGTGCTCTGATGATCAGTGTACATGTCCCCTCTGCGGAATGCCGATTACCGGCTCTCCTCTACTCTCGTGCTGTCAGCGTAACAGCACGTGAGGAGAGAAATGCCGATAACACTGTTCAACAGGTAAAAAGTTTTGGGCATAAAATTAGCTAATCTTACATAATTTTGGGGTGCCGAAAACGAAAATGACCCTAAAAAATGTTGATTGGCTCTAGTTTCCATGATATATTCACTCATCTAATGACGTAAGCCATTCAAAATTATGATGCATCTTCAGCTGCATATTGCGCAATTGATACTGGTGACCAATAGAAAATTGCATGTATACTGAGATGATGCAATATTAGCCTTTAATTGCATCACTTCACTGCATAAAAGCTGCAGTATCTGTAGCTGATTGTAGTTCGACAGCGTCTTTACATTTCGTTTTATGCTTATATAGGCTACTCAGTAATGCCTCGAACTTGTGTGAATAAAGCAGATCATTTCTGCTATATCTGCGGTGAAATAACTTTTATCTCACAAAAAAGGAGGATAACAGGAATGATTAAGAAAAAGCCTACAACTTGCATTTTGGCTGCAAGATAGGAGACCAGGACAAGAGCTGGGCACCACATATATGCTGCAATTCTTGTGGGACGGCACTGGAGCAATGGTTGAATGGAAAAAAAGGCATCTATGCCTTTCGCTGTGCCAATGATTTGGAGAGAGCCAACAGATCATGTTAGTAATTGTTACTTTTGTATGGTGCCTCCAATTGTAAAAGGGCTAAATAAGAAGAAAAAGTTATCTGTGCACTATCCAAATATTCCATCGGCAATACGTCCAGTTCCTCATGGAGAGGGGCTACCAATTCCTAAAGCACCAGAATCCTTCGTGGTTGAGTCAAGTGAGGAAGAACCTGAAGTGTGTAGTCACGTGCAGTTGTAAGAGATAGCCCTTTCCTCGAATACAAGAGAAAAGCCAAGAGAAGCAAAACCGACACAAACTGAAGACAAAACTAGTGAGAATCCTAAGTATTAAAATGATTCAACTTAGCTTATGGCTATAATTTTTCTTGGTAATCCTATGCAATATATTATGCCATTTAGGCTTTGTTATGTAGTCAATATCACTTGCTTTATATTTGTGGAAAGACATCTATCTATATAATTATTGTGCATTATGTAGTCATTACGCCTATAGTAGAAAACTTTCCGTTTACAGAAAAACTAGAGCCAATTGACAAATTTTCATTGTTATATTTGAACTCAGAATGTGAAATTCATTAAGAAATGGATCCTTTTGTTTCCAAAACTGGCAAAAAATAAAAATTTGTTGAACAGTGTAATCGGCATTTCTCTGTTTACATGTGATTGGACACAGCTGATCACATGACCGAGACGACATCTTCTTTGGCTCTTTCCGTAGATCGGTGATCCGCTGTGTCCAAGGGACACAGCACACCGCCGATCGCCGCGCTACGCGCTCCCTGAGCCACGCATGCGCGGGTGAGAATGGGAGGACGTCATATGACGTCCTCCCAGAACGAGAGAACCACCTTGCGCCCGTCATTGGACTATATGGCGGGCGGGAGGTGGTTAAATTGGTATAAATTGGTCTGGAAAATGGCAGAAAAAGAGCATAGGTTTATGAACCGAAGTGTTGAATTGATGAATATAATTGGGACTGATGTTTTCAGAAAATTTCTGTGACCTTGATGAGATTACTTATTAATAAGCCAATATCTGTCTTCAGTCAAACCAGATTGTGTAATGGGGGTTTTGTGTTGAAGCTTAAGGGGTACCATAGTATCCGATTTATTGCTATTGACTTAGAATCTATATATATCCACACTAAACCTGATTCCACTTTGGCTGCTTCTCTCCTATCTAACTGTATTTGTGATATAAAAACTTGGATGGCACACAATTTCCTTTAATTAAACTGTGACAAGACTGAAATCATGCTTATTTGCACCAATTATGTAAGGCCAGTCCTGGCAGCCTCTCTATAGATGACACTGTACTTGAGCTTCAGTAAAAAATTGAAAAATCTAGGGGTGATATTTGATGCTAGTTTAACCTTTGATCCACTTGTACAAAATGGTGTGAGAAACATTGCTCAGCTGCATCCTATGCTACCATACACTGTAGATGAAAAGCTGATCCATACATTTGTGTTCTCCCGACTTGATTGCTGCAATGCTCTACTCGCTGGTGTACCTAAATCAAAAATTAATCAACTTAATTATGTACAAAACTCTGCAGCCAGAATCCTGACTAGGACTGGTACAAGTGACCATATTACCCCTATCCTGGAGTATTTGCACTGGCTACCTGTCAGGGTTTGCTAAGAATTTAAGATCCTCCTGCTCACCTATAAGGCTCTTAATGGCTTGGCACCACATTATCTCTCTGAACTTTTATCAACTTTTTCCCCTCTCGCAACCTCCGCTCCTCAAATTCTGGTTATCTTTGTGTTCCCCCTACTCACCTACACGATGTGCTCCAAAACTCTGGAATTCACTTCTAAAGAACATCAGAGAGTCATCTTGTCTAAATTCATTAAAATCAAACCTAAAAAAATGTTTTTCTTTAGACAAGTTTCATGTAATTGTCCCTTTTTTCCTTCTTGTGTTTTCTTTGTAAAGCGCTTTGAGAAGCTATCTTTAAAGACGCTACGTAAAATAAAGTTTATTATTGTTATTATCTGGTCCTTCAAATTTGCTTATTAGCCAGGTTTATTTAGGCTGAGGTTTTGTTATAGGTTGCCAAATTTAAGAGCTGCAATAGAAGTCAAATTGTATTGCATCATGGATTTAGTATATTCTTGGTCACTGTTTCTTCCTTTGGGAGGCTAGTTGGATGATACAGATCCCAATAGTGGCCTTCTGGGCTTCCCACAGGAAGCCTGGGGATTCAACAGAGAAAGTGATGACTGAAGTATTCAGTTAAGGCAGCCTGAATGGCAAAGTTAGTGGAGGGATTGGTGAATAGTGAGTAATTAAGGGTTTAGTGGTAGCCAGGATTTTTTTAAATAAGGGATGTTAGAGAGTTTTAAGCAAAAGATGTAATGCTGGGTATACACTGTCTGAAAATCAGCCTTCAGCAGAAACCGGCCAACATTCAGCCAATGTATACAGAAGCCAGTCTAACAACCAGCATTTGTCAAAGGAACATGCTGGAAAACCAGCATCTGATCAGTGCTCAAAAACAATGGCTGTGAGCGCTGATCAGTGTGTTCTGGCAGGAGGGAGTCCCACTATCAGAATACAAAGGCACAATGAGGAGATTGCAGCACTGTCATTGCTTGTATTGGTACAGCGATCTGTCAGGTTTTTTTTCATTCAGCCTGCTGGGCTGAACAAAGAAAAAGGAGATAGTAACTAGCAAACAACAAAAAACAATAGTGCAAAGTCGCAAAAGGTCAGCCAAACAATATATATAGCTCTTAGGTCAGGGGGGTGAAGCCAAACCTTGGTGTCATAAAACAATTAGTTGGCCAAGTATATGACACAAGTGAGGGAAGTATTAAAAATATTAATACATTATAGGAGAAACTATTGTGGGAAACATGGTTAATTAGATAGAGTTGTCACATAAAGGAGGGTGCTGTTAATCTTTTCTAACAAAAAGAACCTCGTGAGCTCAAAGCCTGAAGAAAAGAAAAAACATATCCAACTCACAAGATATAAATCTTGAACAAATCAAGGCTCATGTGTTTAATCCCCAGGTTAATGTTAGCGCCGACTTTGTTAGCTTTGCACATGTGCACCTTCATCAAAGTTTTTTTAAACATTTCAATCAATTGTATCTCTGGCATTGGCACTGTCTGCAGCATTGATATACAAGAAATGGGTTTCCAATTCAATAAAAACAACTGGATTGGAAGAAATTCATATATATGAAAGAAACAGGGGTGCTAAACTAAAGATTATTGATTAAAGGTCCGCTAACAAGCCAACATTTTTAATTATTCGGGTCTCATCATGTTATGGGAGATTTTGTTCATCGGAGCTGTAAAACATGGCAAAAAAAAAAATGGAATTAAAAGTAACAATAATGACTGTTTCTTTCATGTATTCAGTTCAAATTTTCAATGGAGGATTTTCTATTTTCAATAATAAAATAGAAGACTTTTGTAGTAGTTACATTTGTTGGCAGTGGTTGTCTCCCTTCAACATACCTTTAGTTGGGTGCTACTAAATGCTCCGATTTCAGATAACCCCTGAAATAATCAAGCTCTGAGCTCTCAATTAATATCACAGGTGCCCAAGGGGGCAGGCCTAGCAGAATGAGTCCCCCTAAAAATAATTTTTGGTTCATCTAAAAGCACTCTATAAATGTATTTTTTATTTAAGTACAGTAAGTAAATCTAGAGAAAAGTGAATTTTTTACCCCATAGCAATCAGTGTTTATCTTTCACTCTAAACTGCGATGGAGGAGTAATTAAAAAAATCTGATCAGCTGTCACAGGTAAACAAAAACATACTGTCTGAAGTTTTTTTTATATTCCTTATAAAATAAAATGTATTGTTTCAGATTCATATTTGGCTATGTATTAAACAGGTTAAGTTATTTACAGTGTAGTTAGCAAGAGATGAACTGCTTAAAAATATTTTCACATATACATAATGTCTTACCGTATTGTAAACAGAATATGCTGATAAAACATCAAACAATGCCCTCTGCCTGTAAAAAAAAAATGCAATAATTGTAATAAACACATTATATATCAGCATGACAGCACAATTCACTAAGTACTAGCACAAGGCTTAGTGCTACTTCTCCATTAATGGATGGCTAGCTTCAGCACAGGTGAGGGTATGTATAAACACCCAATCACACCAGCAAAGCTACTTGTTATTGCATAAGGAGATTTTCCATCTTCTTGCAAGCAGGCCTGAACCTTCATTCTTCTTTGGAATAAGAGCAAAACACAGCATCACTGCTTTCAGTAGGCAAGAGACAACAAGAGGAAGATAATTCCCTGCCCACCATTCTTGAAAGTAGGTTCACACAGGTTTCAGCTTTACATTAATCTGAACAGCAACATATACAGCAAACATTTACACAGATTTAGGCAAGTTTTAAAGTGATTGTAAACCCTCACCTTGTAAAACAACCCATTCAGTTTAAAATAGAAATGAAGGGCAAAACATGTGTATACTGTAGTATAGTTAGAAAATGGGGTTAATCCACTGACCATCAGTGCCTTGTGGGGGGTTCTTTCCCCTACTGATGCAGATGCTGGGGGGGGAATTCTTTCTCTCAGTGAAAAATTCTTTACCCTATGACCACAGTCATTTTACCTTCCACTGATCACCAAAGTTTGGGTTTTTTTCTCCCACTGACAGCCAATCCCATAAGGTTTTTCCTTCCTCTGACCAGCAGGCAGGGCTATGTTACATACTCAAGACCACCTTTTCTCTCTGTATCTTGAGCTATGTGCATTCTATAAGTTCTGTGTTACATACTCCTGAATGCTGTACTGTACACACTGTGATTTACAGTATGTTATGTAGTCCACTGCACTCTGTAGGTTGTGCTGTAAAATCCATACTCCTGACTACGGTGTTTATTGTCGTAATAATTGCGGGTTGCCATGTAGCTCCCAACTATTTTAATGAAGCTATGTTTTACGGTATGATCAGACAAAGGTGTTAAGTGTTGACAGCATCAGTACTGCTTCTCTCCTCACCTTCTAAATGAGAACACAAAAGCAGATGGAAGCAAGTTAATTCAACATAGATGGAAGTCAAATGTAGGTCTATCAGAATGAAAGAATACTGTGCATCAAAGCCTTCACCACTCACTTGACTCCATAACGCTCCCGAAACATAATGTGATTGCGGAATGTACGATTCACATCCATATCAATCTGCTTGATCTCTGTTGAATACATCTTTGCCAGATCTTTCATTTTCTATGTTACAAAACAGCAGAGATGTTAAACGTATACAATATTACAACATTTAATGACAGCAAAAATTATTAGTATGAAATGATGTCCACAAGTCAAAAGCCATTTTTGTGAGGAGTTCATTTGAACTAACTAAAGTGAATAACAACAGTATGCTGCATCTTGTAACCCCTTATACAAAAGAATTCCGAGGCTTTTTTCTACTGTAGAGAAAAATGAATGCATTAAGCCTATTGACTGAACACCTACTCAAAAATTAAATAATAGGAACTGGAGTTACCAGATATTGCCTTTCAGCATAAATAAAAACAAACCACTCTATGTGACTACTGCAGTTCTATATTGCAAAGATAACTATTAAAAACAAAATATATAGACACTTAGCCATGCTGGATTTGCAAAATGTATTTTATTCTGCCACAATTGTATAAAAACATTTAAAAATCCTATTTTAAAGCTACTTACTTGTATTCCTTTGATCTTCTACAATCAAGTACAGGTAAAGAAGTAATCCTTATTTTGATCTAATCAATGGCCAAACATATCAAAGCAAAATAAAACACAATGGAGAAGATTTACTAAAACTTGAGCACTCAGAACCTGATGTAGCTCTGCATCAGAACCAATCAGCTTTTAACTTCAGCTTGTTCAGTTAAGGTTTGGCAGTAAAACTTAAAACAATTGAGTACTGTCCATGATACTTTTTTTATTTGCACTAACATACAATTTTGAGGACAAGCTTTCGGGGTATGTCCCCTTCTTCAAAGTCCAAACTTTGAAGAAGGGGACATACCCCGAAAGCTTGTCCTCAAAATTGTATGTTAGTGCAAAAAAAAAAAAAGTATCACGGACAGTACTCAATTGTTTCTGTCGCAAATGCACTAATATGGCTACAATCACCTCAAGCAGTAAAACTTAGAAACTGATTAGTTTCTATGCAGAGTTGTACCAGATTTTGCACTCTCCAGATTTAGTAAATCAACCACAATGTATTATACAATTACCTGAACTAATTGCAAGAGCTGGAAACATTTCAATTCCCAATATCCAGTTCAAGTTTTTATATTTTTTTTTTAATGCAACGCTTGTTTTTTGAAACTTGGACTGGATATTGGGGAATTGAAATTTTTCCAAAACAGGCAGCAATCCAGAAGGTGGCATACATCGTCTGGGATTTATCTATTTGTAACCAAGCAGATTTTCATTTTTTTATGGATTTTGAATTGTGGAATACATTCTTTAAAAACCTGCTTGGTCACAAATAGATAAATCCCAGAAGATGTATGCAACTCTCTGGGTTGCTGCCTGTTTTTTAAAATCTGTGTTAGGCTACGTTCACATAGCGTTGTGTGCAGGTGGCAGACAGGCATTTGGGAAGTGTTTTTACCGCTTCCCAAATGCCTAGGACAATTCTGCACATTGCAGCACATGGTGCTGTTCTAACAGGAGCGTTAGCATCACGTAGTGGCAAAACGGACGCCTCTGGTCAAGTCAGGAGGCGTTGAAGCCTCCTATTCTAGTCTATGGTGCCGCTCCGCAAAAGCCCGGACGGCATTTGCGGGGCGGTTGTGACACACTTGCAGGGCGTTTGCGGAGCGGTAACACCATTTAAACTTCATTATAGGCATTTGTGGAGCGTTTTTAACTCTCGGCAAACGCCTAGCAACCGCCGCTAAACTGCGTTTGCCGAGCGTTAAAAAACGCTCTGCAAACGCTGGACCAACGCATGCCAAACCCTATAAGGGGCGTTTGGCAAGCGTTGGTAAAACAGTCAAGTTTGAATGAGTCCTTATAGCAGGAACGCTCCAAAAGCAAATGTGCAGCTTCCCTACACACACGTGAACTCACTGGGGTTTATTTACTAAAGCTGGAGAGTGTCAAATCTGGTGTAGTTCTGCATAGAAATGAATCAGATTCCAGGTTTTCTTCATCAAAGCTTAACTGAACAAGCTGAAGTTAGAAGCTGATTGGGCCCTACCATGCACAGCCAGTATTGTCTGCACAATATAAACTCGATTTTAATAATAAGCACTCCATCATTTTTAGTCCTCATTTTAGTCAACCCCTTTGCATTTTGTGAATGGGTTCACAGAACACAAAGCTTTCTGTGATTGGACATAAAAAGGGGAGGCAGACACACAACAGGACAGCTGCTGTGCTGGAGAGTCAAAAGTCTCCCGTCAGTGTGCCAAAAATATAATGAAAGCTATACCATCGCCGCTCAATGAAAATGTACATGGTAAATACCAGGCAGCCAACCAGGAGGTGGCATACACATAAATATATGTAAACCAGCAGATATTTTTTTCCCCTGGCTCCAATTAATTTACTAATGTTGCAGTGAAGTGAAAAGTCCACAATCCACATGCCAGAGCCCCTATACAGTATATGTATGTTGGCTATTCTTTCTGGAATTTTAAACAATTTTGAAAGTTTCATAGTTTTGAATATTCAGATGATATGATTATATATAATGAGGATAATATATACGCACACACACACACATACATTTTTTAAATTTTTTTTTTTAATTTATACTGTAGAGTACAGAAACCCATACTCAACCACAGGGAGGGAGGCATCTTCTACAGATAATCTGCTTTGAGTGTTAGCCAGGACAGGGATTAATCCCTACTGACCATGTGCTCAAAGACCTAAATAAAGTAATCCTTTCATTGACAGTATATGGGACGCAATACATGTTGGGTCATGTTAAATGGCTGTTACCTCACCTGTATAATTAAGAAACCTACTCCTTATATAAATTAATAATCATTTAAAAATACATTATATAACTTGGGCATAGAAAGAGAATGAGTAAAAAAAAAAAAAAAGAAAAAGAAGTTTACTTCAGAACAAATTAAAATTAAATTAAAATCACATACCTCATATTTCCCCCCATTCTCAGACTTCATTGTGTCAACATCCAAGAGCAGTGACCAGACCTGACCTCTGACTTGTAAAGGAATCCCTTTGTATACTCTGCGATACATCTGTGAAATATAAATGACATGAAAGATATCAGTTCATAGTTCACAAAACATAAAGTTAAAGCAAACTTATCAGGTGATAAACATGAAGCTTGTCATTGATGATTACCTTCTAATAAGACTAGGTTTTTAGCACAGAACACAAACACAGATCATACACGTTAGAAAAATGTCACATGTCCCTATGTACACTCTTGCTCCAGATCAGTTACCTAAAGTACTGAAGATGAGAATAACTGCCAGACAGCTAGCATTTCCAGAAAGAGAGCTTAGCACTGGTAGTCTCCAAGAAAGATGCCGCTCAAGATGCCTTTAAAGTGATTATAAACTTCAGACATGAAATATGAATTTTTCATAACCCTCTATAGTGTGTGCTTGTCTCAACTTAAAGCACTAAGTGTCATTTCTGTCTGCTGCTTCATTCCTCTGCTATTAACATAAATCACTTCTGACAATTTTTCCTGACACCAAGAGAAAAATGGACCTCCAGCAGTTTGGTAGCCTCAGCTCTGTTCCTGTGTGCTGTGTGTGTGTGGTGGGGGGGGGGGGGGGGTGTCCCTTTCCTTCAATCAGCTCTCAGAGCTCTCCTCACTGAGCTCTGCAAAGTGGAACTTCAGCTCTCCTTCCCCTTTTTTCTATACTCTCAGACAAGCTTATAAATTCAGCACTTTGAATGAATGTAGAGAAGAGAACACTGCAAATAACTAGGCACAACGTATGTAGGAGGATTGGTTTAATCTGTGTGTAGTCCATTCACTGGGTATATGTAAGGGTTTACAACCACTTTACCACAAGCCATAAAGCTATTTAGGCACACACTACCTTATGATACATTGAAGTGGATTCATCATTTGAACAAATACCACTATAATCATTCTCAAACAGAGCAGTAAGATTATTTGGTTTATTTTCTCATTATAGGGTATGGAACTGACGCTATGTAAGTGGTTGCCACAATGAATGGTCACTTTACCAATTTCTCCTATCATTTACTGTTTTCAAAAATGAATAGGTTTTCATTTTCTAAATCACAGACAAACCAGTTGCATGATCTTTATCAGCTACTCTCAACCAAGGTTCCATAAACAGATAACAGATAACACTGTGTTGAGTTCCATAGACAGGTAACACTGTGTTGGGTTCCATAGACAGGTAACACTGTGTTGGGTTCCATAGACAGGTAACACTGTGTTGGGTTCCATAGACAGGTAACACTGTGTTGGGTTCCATAGACAGGTAACACTGTGTTGGGTTCCATAGACAAGTAACACTGTGTTGGGTTCCATAGACAGGTAACACTGTGTTGCTCCCACAGAGAGGAAAGAGATTAAAGGGAGTGATGTGCAATGTGTGGGTTTCACAATTGACTGCTACATCCACTATATGTGATTGAAGTATGTCATGTGACACCAGTCTATGTAATGTGACACTGCCATCTTGAAGAAAAGAAGTAAAGTGCAGAAACTATAATTTTGTTTGGACATTCCTTTCTTATGAATATAAAGACTAATGGCTGGATATTTCATGGGAATGCCCGTGGCATTGAGTAGGAACAAAATGGTGAAAGTTAAGTACTACCAGCAGAGGGTTGTAGTCCTATCCAAGAAGTAGTGGGGCAGGAGACTGAATGAATTGGCACCAACAACTGGCCAATCAGAAGCCCCCTTACATAGTGTTGATTAAAGCTTGTAGCCTAACATGAGCTTCTTCTGTGCTACAAGCTTCAAGCGCTTCTGTTCTCAATATTATTTAATGGAACCACCTGAAAACACACATACTGCACATTTTTCCCTAGTATCTAGCTTTCTACGGACTAAAAAAAAAAAAAAATTAGAAATAATCCATCTGCAGTCATCCACAAGAATGTCTGTACAAATGCTCAGAAAATAAAAGGCTGCAAAGTGACCACAGACGCTCAACTCAATTGTGAATGCAGCCTTAGGGCTCTTGTGCACTGGGGGTTTGAAAAGCTTTTCTGAATGCTGGAAACTGACTGCAAGAAAACGTAGGTTAAAAACGGCAGTTTAGCCGCTTTTACCTACCGCATTTATCTGTGTTTATGCACAGTTGTGTTTAGAAGCGTTTTTAAAAGATAACCTCAGGAGACCCTCATAAATGCCCAGAATGCACTGAAAAATAGTAAATAATTAACTATTTCTGACATTTTGTGAGAAATATAGAGAGCAGAAGTAGAGAGAGTGCTACTTTCTGATGGGTGTTGCAACTGTAGCAAAAGTGGCTCGTGAAACATGCTTGGCACTGTGGGAGGAGCTACATAGTGCTGTAATGCCTGTAATGCCTCCGGATGCATTCTGGAGTGCACACAACACTCCTTGTGCTTTTTTGCTGTGTGTTGATGTGTTCCAGTACGGTTCTGTGCAGAAATATTGCAGCACATTCTACCATTTTTTCCTGCACGCAAAACCTGGAACTGACTGCACTACTGTACTAGGTCCATTTGAACACATGGAAAACGCTGTGCATACATTTTTGATGAAATAAAAGGCAATGGACAGCATCTGGATATGGACCAGCCCAAAAACGCGTCTAAACGCAAACACGCAGAAATGCATTTGAAACGCCGGTAAAATCTACTCCTGAACACGATTTTTGTGCTTTCAAAAAATGTCCGTAACCTCAACTGCCTGTAAACTACTGTAAATGACTATGTGTACATGGACATATGGGAAAACAAAGGAGAGTTCAGGGGCTACTGAAAAAAAATGCACAACTGCTCCTAAACATCAGTTTAGCATCTGCAGTGTACAAGAGCCCGTATGGACTAGTTTGGGAATTTGTGTACTATATAGATTCACCTCTCAACCTTTTACACCAGAAGAACTAGAGATATTTATGACAAAAACATTTGTTTTGTTTCGGATTTGTGCATGAATTCATTAGTTTTATTTTGTCATATTCATTATGTTATAATTATCAATTTTTAGAATTCATTTTGTATATTCAGATTCGTTTCATATAGTTGTTATTTGCAGATCAATTCAAAATTCAAATTTTAGAAAAGACAGCTATAGTCATTCTATTTTATTCTATTCAATTCTACTCTCTTCTATTCTTTTATTTTCTATTCTATTTTTTTATGTTCTATTTAATTCCTTTACTTTCTATTATTGCATGCCTAAGTGCTTGATTTTATACACCTGTGGCCATGGAGGTGACTGGAACACCTGAAGACTTTTGGCAATATAGTGTGTGTGTGTGTGTGTGTGTGTGTGTGTGTATATATATGTTATCTATCAGAGGGGGTTATTAATCAGTTTCAGCTGCTTTGGTGTTAATGAAATTAACAACAGGTGCAATAGATGGGCAACAAGGAGACGACCCCCAAAAGAGGACTGGTTTTACAGGTGGAGACCACTGATATTGTTGTCCTTACTCATCTTTTCTGACTGTTCTTCACTAGTTTTGAATTTGGCTAGGGTCAGTGTCACTCATGCTAACATGAGGCAATACCTGGACCCTACAGAGTTTGTACAGGCAATCCAACTCCTCCAGGATGGCACATCAATACGTACCATTGCCAGAAGGCTTGCTGTGTCTCCCAGCACAGTCTCAAGAGAATGGAGGAGATTCCAGGATACAGGCAGTTACTCTAGGAAAGCTGGACAGGGCTGTAGAAGGTCCTTAACCCAACAGCAGGACTGGTATCTGCTCCTTTGTGCAAGGAGGAACAGGATGAGCATTGCCAGAGCCCTACAAAATGATCTCTAGCAGGCCACTGGTGTGAATGTCTCTGACCAAACAATCAGAAACAGGCTTCATGAGGGTGGCCTGAGGGCCCGATGTCCTCTAGAGGGCCCTGTGCTCACTGCCTGGCACCACAGAGCTCGATTGGCATTTGCCACTGAACACCAGAATTGGTAGGTTCCCCACTGGAACCCTGTGATTTTCACAGATGAGGACAGGTTCACCTTGAGCAAGTGACAGACATGCAAGGGTCTGGGGAAGCTGTGGAGAATGTTATGCTGTGTGTAACATTGTTCAGCATGACTCTTTTGGTGGTGGGTCAATGATGGTCTGGGGAGGCATATCCATGGAGGGATGCACAGACCTCTACAGGCTAGACAATGGCACTCTGACTGCCATTAGGTATCGGCATGAAATCCTTGGACCCATTGTCAGACTCTACGCTGGTGCAGCGGGTCCTGGGTTCCTCCTGGTGCACTTCAATGCCCGGCCTCATGTGGCGAGAGTATGCAGGCAGTTCCAGGAGGATGAAGGAACTGATACCACTGAATGGCCCCCACGCTCGCCTGACCTAAATCCAATAGAACACCTCTGGTATATCATGTTTCGGTCCATCCGATGCTGCCAGGTTGCACCTCAGACTGACCAGGAGCTCAGTGCCCTGGTCCAGATCTGGGAGGATATACCCCAGGACACCATCGGTCATCTCATTAGGAGCATGCCCCAACATTGTCAGGCATGCATACAAGCAAGTGGGGGCCATACAAAGTACCATTTTGAGTTTGTACAATGAAATTTCAGCAAACTGGACTAGCCTGCAGCATCATTTTTTCACTTTGATTTTAGGGGTGTCTTTGAATTCAGTCCTCTGTAGAGGTGGATAATTTCATTTCCATCAAATGATGGGGCATACTTACATTCCTAACACATTACCCAGTCCATATCAGTATAGATATCAGCATGATATTTTTCCCCGTTGGGATCTAATGTGCTTTCAAAATGTTTATAATATATACACACATACTGCCTGTAGATCTGCATTAAATATTTCTCACCCAGCCAGGTGTGTCAGAGTATGTGATGCTATTTGCAGAGTTGTGAGCACAAGAACAGGTGACCCAACACATCAGCAGCTCCTTAGGGGGAGGGGGTAAGCGCTACAATAGTCAGTGTGCACCAAAGTAAATTTTGTTTTGTTACTGTATTGTAGTAATATTCAGGAAGAGACTCTAGTAAATAGAAAAATATTAGTAACATAAGATGTGCAGAAATTATTTATTTAAATAGACTAATGCTGG